ATATGTTAATATGATTATGAAAGCATTCTTTGTAGTATTTTCCATTCACAATACATTTTGTCATTTTTTTAGGTATGCTAGGCATTCATTGGCACATTTTAAAGATTTGGTGAATTAAGGTCATGTTTCTAATGTAACACTTCTATTAAATTTATGCATTCTTACATCTGGTAATCTGAGCAACTTCATTCAAGATTACAATATGTAATATAACAACTATTATTAATCTTTATCACCTTGTTTTGAAACTCAGTATCTTTTTTATTGTTTTTGTGTTGTTTTGTTTTTGTCTTTGTTATAGTTATTTTGTCATTTTTTTCTTATTAAAATAAAAAAAGAAAAACTCTCGTTATCCCAGAAGAGCCCAGAACATGTCACTTATTCATTTGAAAATCTTAGACAAATAATCAAGCTGAACTTCTTTTCTTTCTTAGTTTTGTCTTGATTGAATGATGTTTCAAGCATTTCTGTGTAACCAAGGTCCAGGTCACTGTCTGGGAGTAGAGGACGGATGCCCAAGCTAATGCCATACTAGTTTTACTTCATTTTGCCTTTGTGTTTCATTTTTCTTTTACCAAAATTGCCTTTAGCTTAGCCTTCTTTTCACTGAATTTTTAAATAAAACATGTATTGTGTTTTGATGTAAGATTCAAACTGCCTAAAATTTCATTTTATTTGATTTTTTTGGGGGGGTAGTGGGAATCGAACTCAGGACATTGCGCTTGCCAGGCAGGCCCTTGTGCCACTGAGCTATGTCCCCAGCCCCTAAACTGCCTAATATTTTAGATCTTTGGACTATTTTACATGTACTTTTAATTTATTTCTGTAAATGATGTGATAGCAACTGGATTACAAAAGTTTTCTTAATTTAATACAGAATTATTGGATCCGATATGGAGGACGACAAGATGAGAATCGGTGAGTTTTCCGGTCAGATTTTTTTGTTTCTTTTCAATGAAAAGAGATACAGAACATCTTATAAGGAACTTTACTTGGCATGATATTGGCAAAAAACACAATTAACAATTTTGAGCTGCATATTAAGTGATCTGTGTCCTGATCCTAGCTATTCCTGTCACATTTGTGTGACCTTAATCTTTTCCCCTGGGTCTCATGATTTTCCTAAAATGAGGGAACTGAGTCAGTTGAATCAAGTTGAATGCTAACATTGTGTGATTCCAAATCAGGGAGAGTTGGATCCTGTTTTGTTTGACTTATTAGTGGAAAAAAGCTATGAAATTTTCTTGTGATGGTGAATTCCTTTTACTATGTTTACTTGAAATTAAGAAGTTCAGAAAACTTTTATGCAAGGTAAGTGTGGTACTAGCTCACAAGTGAGAATTCAGATTTTACAACAGTTGAAGTAAATTTACTGTATCAGTAATTCAAACTCATAGCATATCTGAGTTATGTATATTTTAGGTCACATGGTCCAATTTATTTTCAAGCTGGGAAACAGGCCAGGTCGAGGGAAGAGACTTAGACCTTCATGAAGAGGGCCTGGCAGGTCCAGTTCTTACTCAGAATCTTCAGGTCCTTCATTAGTTTTGAAGGTCTTAACACTGTGGTAGTGTAAGATTACTGCAAAAGAATAAAGAGTGTACATCCAAACATGCATGTTTGGATCTGTCCAATCTGTGTACGTTGAAGGCACAGCCTACTATCATTTGCACATTTGAACTGTATGACACAAACCTATATGTTCTTCAAAGAATAGCAAAGAACTATAACATTAGGGCACACTTTATTTCAAATCAGTAATTATGCAGTGATTCATCCATGCTCAAGGTATAGTACAGTATTTCAGCATTATGGAAATGAACATGGACATTTTTTTCTTATTCCTTGGCATGATAGTTTAATTTGCAGGGAAGGGGTTGAGGTATAAATGCAATTAATTGTAATGGATGTTGGAAAAGTATTCAGAAGAGTGAAATGGAGCATGATCCTTGAGAAAACAGAGAATTTCACAGAAGTGGAGACATTTGATTTTTTTTATTTTGAAAGCTAGATGGATTTGTGTGCAGTATACACAGATACATGCCAGAGAACCATGGGCTGACGGGCTACAGCATATTTGCCTTTAACTGTCTTGACTCAATGCGAACTTGTGATTTCAATTCTTTGAATGGACAGGGTACCTTCAGGCGTGAATGTGGAAGAGGCAGAAGTTCACGGATTGTCAGTGGGAAAAAAGTCATCACCCAAGATAGATCGAGATCTAACAGAGGGTAAGTTTCTGCGCGTTGTTATCCTTACTAGAGGAGAAGAGAGGGGGCTATGAACAGTTCTGATCTAGATCAAGATGGAGCCCACATTTTCTGGAAAACAGAGTGAAGCTTAATCTAGGACAGTTCCTCTGTCTAAAAGGGAGGCTTACAAATAGAATGCCTCAGATTTGTATATCTTTGCAAAAGTGAACCAAATTCCCTCCCTCATCTGTGCCCCCAGGAATACTGAGCTAGGCAAGGACTACGCAGTCGTCCCATCCTGAGTCAAATTCTGGAGGCGTAGCAGGGTCGCAGGACTTAATTCTCTCATGTAGTTGGTGAGGGCGAGGTAACACGGGATCACAGCATTTCTAAGAAACAACGAGAAGAGATAGGTCACATGAGATTATATTGGTTCACCTAAGATATTCGAAGTATATACACCTGAGCAATGCTTTAAGGAAAAGTAGATTTTTTTTTAACGTCTTTTCCATGTGGAGAATTAAACCCAGGGCCTTATGCATGCTAAACCCTGCACTCTACTACTAAGTTCCATCACCAGCCTCAAATTAGACGGACTGAATTGGCAGAGGTGTGGAAGGAACCATTGTAGATGATAAAACAAATAGAGCAAAGGCAGAGAAATAAAAACAGCAACATATTATGTGCCTATTTGTGTAAGATCCAAATTGGTGGAATCACAGATGGGGTGTTGCCAAAAGAATTTTTTTAATAGAGCCAAATGAGGGAAAAGAGAAAACAGAGAAAGAACAAAGAGAAATATATATACATATATATACACGTGTGTGTATATATATGCATATATGTATATATATACATATATATGTATATCTATACACGAGGTTAGCTGAGATAATTGTCCTCCTGATGTCTACCGGTTTATTGAAAGGAACAGTTAATGCTTAAATGTTTTTTCTTGACCAATTTTGCATGCTTATATCTGGTAATCTGAACAACTAATTTGAAGACAACAATATGCAATGTAGCAATCATTGCTGAATTCTACCATCCTGTTTAACGAAGCTCTGTATTGTTTCTATTTTTTAAATTACTTTTTATTCTCTTTAATTGTTTGATCACTTGCATTCTTACATCGGTAATCTGAGCAACTTCACTGAAGACAACAGTATGTAATATAACAACCATTGTTAATTCCTATCATCTTGTTTTGAAATCCTGTATTATTTTTATTGCTTTTGTTTTCGTCTTTGTTGTTGTTATTTTGTTACTGATTTTTCCTCTTTAAAATAAATAGAGCCAAATAGTGTTATAATAGTAAACTATTAGCAATATTAGTAATAGCAATAGTAATTCTTGTTGTTGTTTTTTTTTTGGTTTTTCTCCGGTACCGGGAGCTGAACTCACGACCTTGTGCTTGCCAGGCAGGCGCTTTTGCCACTGAGCTAAATCCCCAGCCCCAGCAATAGTAATTCTTAATACTTATTGTTTCTATATCTTTTATAATCTTTCAAGCAAATTTACATACAGTTCATTTTAATACTAGCAGCCTTGCATATGTATGAAGGGGTCTAGTTAATGACTTTGTGAGAATCTCACAGCTCATAATATGTTGGGCAGGCATTTGAAGTCAGACTTTGAAATCTGATTCCCATTTTCTTCTTCACCTGCTGCATGGAATGTAAACATGTCTAGCCTCAGAATGTAGCCTCTAACACAGCCTTCCCTGGGGGTTATGGTTTATATATTAATGTCCACTCCCAAAACCTCTTGGGGTCAGAGACAGTGGCTTGAGGATGGTGACTGGATTATGAGGTTGTAGAGCTGATTTGCTGGTAGGAGGTGGAGTCTGTTCGGAAGAGAGAGCTCAGAGGGGGTGTGGCCAGGCAGAGTTTATCTCCCTTCCGGGGCCATCTCTTCTTCACTCTCTCTTCTTCCCTGCCACCATGCCCTGAGCAGCTCTCCTCCACCAGCCCCTCTGCCATGCTGTCCTGCCTTGGAGCCAGCCCACTATGCACCAAAACATGAGCCCAAGCAAACCTCTCCTTCTTCAAGTTGCCAGTGTCGGGTATAGTGTCTCAGCAACAGGAAAATGACTGACACTGGACATCCATGTAGGACTGGTTCTAGGACTCCCCACTTCCTAGCACACCAAAATCCAAAGATGCACAAGTCCCTTATATGAAATGGATTAATATGTAACCTATTTATAGCCTCCGGTGTACTTTAACATCTATAAATGGCTTATAATACCCAATGCAATGTAAATACTATGTAAATAGTTGTTATACTCTGCCACTTAAAGAGTAGTGACAGAAAAGGCTATAACATGTTCAGCGCACACTCAATGTTTTCAACCGTTTTCAATACATGTTTGGTTGAATTTATTGGAGTAGAATTACTGATCAATACAGGTGGGCAACTTTAATGCAAGATATGAAGAGGTTTTCAGAAACCTGCATTGAAAAGTACAGCACTTGTCAGCACATTCCTGCAGTGGATTTGAAAACGTCTGGTTCTCTGTGACGTGTACATTTCCCAGCCCTTCTGTCCTTAGCTTCCAAGTCCATTTGAGCAGTAAACAGGATAATATGCTCATCTCTGACCTAGACCTCAGTTTTTAGCCACAAACCCCAGGCTATTTTACAACAGCCAGAAAGGTTCATGGTCAGCCAGAGTGCACGTCGGTTTTTCAGCTGAGAAATCACCCAGGAAGAGCATGCCAGTAGCTCAGCACTTTGCCGTACATGGGAAACTCCAGGACACTTGCCAGACTCTAAAGCTTTTTTGGTTCTCAGGAAACTGATGTCCAGCAATTGACTAACAAGGTTGGAAGGAAGAGTAGAACAGAGTACTGTAAGCCATGATTTGGAGGTGCTGCAAAACTCCATCCTTTCTGCAGTTTTCTTGGTTAAATAGGCCCATGGATTCTCTGGGAACTTCCTAGACCAAAGGAAAGAAAAATTCAACCAGTTTTTACACATGCAACCAGATTGTTTTTGTTGTGGTGGTGGCGGTTTTGTACTGTTTTATTTTGTTTTATTTTTTTTTTTTCATACTCCAAGCAGTTCTCCAAGGAATACCCGCTTGGTGCCGTAGAACTGGATGGGAGTTTGACACTCCAGGCAGGGAGACCAGAGGTGCTGTAAAGTCCCACAGGTGGAGGCCTCCGCCCAAGACTGCCCCCACTTCCCATAACAGTGCACTTCTGACTGGCCTGACCCACCGGCTACTAATGGGGCTCTCGTGACCCTCACTTTGAAGTTGGTTCATTTGTAGAGCACTTCACAGAACTCAGGGAAGCACATTTACCAGTTTACGGTGAAGGACTTTAGAGAAGGCACAAAGCAACAATCTGATGATGAGGTACATGGGGCAAGGTGTGGGGAAGGGGGTGCTTGGGCGTCACCTCTGGGGAAAACACCTTCCCAGCATTGCCATGTCTCCAGCAACCAAGAATCTCTTCACCTCCTGCTCTTCAAGAGCTTCAGAGAGCTTGCTCTCTAGCCTTCCACCCCTCGCAGAGGATTCTGGGCACGGACTCGAGTTTTGCTCCTTTCAGAGGGTCTTTCTGGGAACCAGTTTCAGTTATGGTACCACAAGAAACACATTTGGGCTAACTAAGAAACACAACTAAGAAACGTCACTAAGAAACACATTCCAGTTCCAGCAACCTGGGCTACCCCTGAAATCACTTCTTGAGCGTGAACTCAGATGGGAACAAAAAGGACTTTTTATGTATTTAAAAAAAAAAAACAAAACTCCTATCTTTCAGGTAATGGCAAAGCTTCCCAAGGCTTTGAACCAGGAATAAGTGCAGTGACCAAATGTATTTCTTTTTCTTTTTCTTTTTTTTTGTTTGGTACCAGGAATTGAACTCACGACCTCACGCCTGCTGGGCAGGTGTTGTGCTGCTAAGCTAAATCTCTGGCCCCCCAAATGTATTTCTTATGGTACCAAAACTGGAAAAGCTTTCTAGTTACTACACATCTAAATATGATCTAAATTGAAAGCAGTGGCGGATAAAAAGTTTCCAATCAGAAAATACTTTTATGTCTTAGTCCAGCTGAAAGCAGATCTCAGGCAGAAAAAGGTGAAGAACGTGCCACAAAGTATATTTCTTTTTTATTTCCCCCTGAGAGAGTGTCCTCTGTGCTGCTTACCTAGTCGTGCTTGTTAGTGCTCGAAGTGGCCAGCTCTGTAATGTGACGGTGAGAGTCACTCGGGGCCACATCCTGAGTGTTTAACTAAAGTGGTTCTGCCACTTTTTCATACTTTCCCTCAACCACTATTTTTTCCAAACGTCATGCTCAGCAATGATCCTAGACTCATTGGGGGTACGGAGGAAATAACACTGAACTTGGAATCGGGTGGCTCACTCCAGGATTGTGGGCTGCACGCTACTGGAAACCTAAGCCTCCTCGGACCCATGTTCCTTTTCTGGACATGAAGAACGATCACTCTTTGAGATGAGAACTGTCTTCCATAAACTGTGAACGGCTGTGCTCATAGAAGGACGCCTTGGCGTGCGCACCCCGAGCCTGCCTTGTGTGACGTTGTGGTGTTTGTGGGAAAATGAATCTTCTAACCCACGAACCACAGGCAGTGAGCACGAAAGGAGTGTACTTTCCTAGATGACCTCTGTTACTGCTGGAGAGCGGGAGCCAGGCGCATACTTTATGAATGAGAGAAGAATTAACTCAAATCTCCTCACACTGTGTTGAAGAATTGGCTGAAACTGTCAAATCAGACCTCGGAAACCAAAACCTACTGGACTGAGTTTTAATTTTAATCTTTCCCTCTGTCTGGTGTGCATCTGCGGTCATATGCAGGCTGCCGTATGAATGACAACTTTTTTCCTTTTCTTTTTTTGGTGAAAGGCTCGGTAATTGTTCTTGTCAAATGTATGTGTGGGAAATTTCTCAAAAAAAACTCTATACTTAGTGATAACCATAATAATACATGGAAGGCAGGTTTTTAATCCAGACTCTCCCTAAACATTTTGGATCTGAACATTGAAGATTCCATGTTACACTCTTCCTTTACCTGGTCATTGTGAGGTCCGGTTACGGGAAGTGTTAATATCTCAGCATCCTTCCCTAAGCTATCATTGTAAATTAAGGTGCTTCAGTCAGAATGAACACAATATTCCAGGCACCATTAACTAACTTAGTAATAGTGATGAGAAGAATAATAACAAATACTTATACAGTGTTTGGGTGATAAGACTATTTCTAAATGTTTCAGTCTGGTAATTTTAAAACTCATATCGTAAAAATAAGCTAATCATGTTCAAAGAAATGCACCCGCAAAAGAGAAGGCAAAGAAAATCGGGCAAAATACAGACAAACCCAGTTGACTACTACACGCCCTGTTTCTGCATTTCTATTTGAATTTTATTGCAGTATGTGCTTTTCCATGAACCTGCTGGTATCTGATCTTTATTGGTGAAGGAATATTTCTTTTGTATTTCTAACCTGGAGGGAATAGGCAGTTCACTCTTCCAAATACCTGAAAGAAGGTCTACATTTGATTAGGACGTTGAGTCCTAATCTGCTACATAGATTGGAGCAACTTTTCCCAAACTGCGTTTTGTGTTAAGAGCTTCTCCAGTTGGGATGAGAGCACTGCCTTGTTTGGCTTTATTCAGGTGGGAAAATAGCACAAATGTAGCAGTTTAAAACAACCATTTATTATATCACAGTTTCTGTGGGTCATAGCTCTGGGCATGATGTAGTTGAATCAATTCTTCAAGGTGGCTCATCAGGCTTCAGTGGTGCTGCCAGTCAGGGCTGGTATCTGCTTTGAAGCTTGGTTGGGAAGGATTTTCTCCCAAGAAAATCCTTGTTAAATGGCAGAAGTGTTAATATCCAAGTTAAATGGCAGAATTCAGTTTCTGAAGGGCTGTCGGACTGTGGTTCTTCAGTTCTCAGTTTGTTGTCAGTCAGAGGAAACCCTCGATTCCTTGCCATGTGAGCTTTTCCAACAGAGCCACTTGCTTCCTCTAAGCTTGCAAGCCAGGAAGGCCACAGACTGAAGCTACCAGCGGGAGAGAAACCACAGTTCTCTACAACAGAATTGTGGCTGTGGTGTCCTGCCACCTTGACATGCCCTTTGTTTAGAAGCCAGGTCCCCATGATACCGCACTTGTGGGAAGCAGATTGCTCAGAGTGTGAAAACCAGGAGCCAGTGACCAGTGTGAGCCATTGTAGAGTCTTCTTGCCTTGGAGGAAGGGAGGGCTGGAGTGTGGGAAGAAGGAAGGGAAAGAAAGAGGGAAGAAGGGGAGGCGGGGGAGAAGGAATTGACGAGGGCAGGAATCGTGTTGAACTAAGACTGAGAACTGCTACATCTTACATGACCTACTTTGGAGATTCATAAGGCCTCTTCATGTATTGGAAGTTCCAAATAGTTTTGTCAGTTTTACTTAAGCAAGTATTTTCTAAAATGTTCTGCACAACAGAATCTGAGGAACATAAAATTGTACTTTTCTATTCATCCAAAACTATGATACTGAAACTGGGTGTTTATGGATGCATATTTGGAACCCAAGAAATTCTGTACTTATACATTGCACTGACAGTTTTTAAAATTAATGGAGTCCGTGAGCGATCAGAATAAGCAACTGACAGCTAAGCACTGTCATGAGATTTCCTTTCTTGATGGACATAGGTACAGTGATGGTCACTTCGGCACCAGTGATTGGAGACTAACAGTAAATGAGGTGCATATCCTTATGAGACATATGATAGGGCCAGCTGAAAGCTTAAGTTCATCATATACACAAACGTTTTATAGTAGTTTAAGTAGAGAAATGTCTGTGTAGATATATCATTGCGTATCCAGGTAGTATAAGAAATACTAGTTCAACGAACATGGGCCAGATCACTGAGTAGAATATCCATGTGTGATGTGTGCAATCCAATATTTTATTTCAGCCAAATAATATTGTCTATTTCAGTAACATGGTTAATAATTTCAGCTTAGTTTTATGGTCTTCCTTTCATTTAAGCTAAGTGGTTTTGATATGATAGTTGTACAGAGCTTTGAAAACAATGTGTACATAGTTTTATGACTAGAAATATGGAAATAAAATTATATCACAAAGGATGTGTTAGCACTGGAGCTTTTAGGGGGGAATATTTGCTTTAAAAGAGAATCACACATTGCTCAAGTTTGAGAAATGCTATCTCATTCTTTTCATAGTTCATTAGTCACTGGATGTCGTGAAGCTTTTATCCTAAGTAGAATAATAAATAATCAGATGGTGGTATTCCCTTATTCGAACAAACTGTGCAATAGAGGTTAGCAGACATCAATTTTGGTGTCTGCACTTCCTTCTACAGATGTGTTTTAGGTCCCTGTGTTGGTGCCAGCTGCTCTTCTTGATGGAGGACAGAAGGAGTCCTTCCTCCCCTACCTTCATGCCCTCTTAGTGAGCTCTTTGTACCCATGGGCACTTGACAGGTCCTTATCCTTATTAGGAGTTTTATAAGAAGCAAAAAAAGAACACTGCTTTCTGCTCAGCTTCTGGTTCATGACATTTGCACTCTGCTATGTCTAAAGATTTCTTCACTGCCAGATGCTTTTTCTTCCATCCCACTGTAAGAGGAAAGGACCTTATCAGGCCAGGATTTTGTAATTTCACAGACTAAAACATGACCCTAGTGCATCACTCTCTGCAAAGACAACAAGAAGATGATTTTTCTAAAGTTGCAGGCTCTTTCCAGAGAGAGCAGCCTACAGGCAACTCTTCATTGTAGAAAAGGCATGGAAAGATTTTACTCAGAGAGCAGGGAGAAATAATTCTCCAAGTACGAGACCAGTACAGTCAGTCAAGCATTGGCAAGGACCCTGGCAGAGGAGTCCGATGACTCGGTGTGACTTCCTGGGCTACCTAGGGCAGGCATCGCTCTCGATCACAGTGGAACTGAGGTGTGCCTATCATGCCTGGCGGACAGGAAGAGGTCATCAAGTCGCTGTCTGCCATGCTATGGCGGATGTAGGAATGATGTCCTAGAAAGAAGGGTGAGTCTTGTTAGAGGCGAATCCTATGAAATGCCCAGTGTATTTTTTAGGATTATCCTGAATAAAATGAAAGAAAACCGTTTATCCCAAAACACAGTACACATTTCATATATAATTATGATAGAACAGGGAAGCCTTGTTACCGCGCATCTGTCTTTCTCGGAATCCAACCTCCTAAAATGTAATTTGTGTTAGCATTCCTGAGTAGTCCTGAAGAAACCAGTGTTCCCAAACTGTCCAGGGAAAGCTGTTGTGTGCTCCGTGCCTCCCTTCTTGAGGACAGAAGTAACCAGGAAAATGGTGTGCTCTGTCCCCGCAGGTGGCCCTCTGCTCTATGAGAATATCACCTTTGTGTACAACTCGGAGCAGCTGAACGGGACCCAGCGGGTCCTCCTGGATAACGTCCTGTCTGAAGAGCAGTGCCGGGAGCTGCACAGCGTGGCCAGAGTGAGCCCGCGATAGGGAGGGAGCCCGCGATAGGGAGGGAGCCCGCGATAGGGAGGGAGCCCGCGATAGGGAGGGAGCCCGCGATAGGGAGGGAGCCCGCCTGCCCTGCTGGCGGGTCAGGAGTCTGCGAGGGCCAAGGTTCAGGTTCACACGGATCCAGGGACTCAGGCCTGGAATTGTGCTTGCTTTAAGATGAGAGCTTTGGTGGCGGTGTACTTTCTAAGCTTCTGGCTAGGATGATTTTCGTTTTTCAGGTGACTCTGGGTAACTGTTGGTTTAAATCCCAGGACAGTGGCTCCCTAGCATGTGCCCTTCCTACCACTACAAGTCTCTGGAGAAGCCTCTTTATTTTAATCAATAATTCACCAATGGATAAGCCATTTCTATTCCACATACCTGTATAAAAGGTGTAACGTTTTGTAAGGAAAACATAGAGTGAAGGTTAAATAAAGGTACCTCTTGATTTGGAAGAATGAATTGTACCTGCATCCTGGAATAGGGTGTGCGTGGTTCTGAGTGTGGACTTGGGCTCCCAGCTTTCTGGCAGCTGAAGCAGGATGGAGGGGTGGTTCATCCGAGCAGTTGTCACTGAGAAAGCATCTGCTTGCCTTTCGCTTCCAGGGAATCATGCTTGTTGGCGACGGATACAGAGGAAAAACTTCACCGCATACTCCCAATGAAAAGTTTGAAGGTGCAACTGTCCTGAAAGCACTCAAAGTAAAGTCTTCCTTGTGGGACTGGGTCGCTAAGTATCCACCTAGAGGCATTTATGAATGATAGATGCGGGGCGGTCTGGGGAGCACGTCTGAAATGGGAACTGTCGGACGCCAGTTATCAAGCAGGGCCTAATGCATACTAGGCTACACCTCCAGGCATGCCTGTTGCTTTCTGTCATTCTTTCATTCAGTCATGCATTGATTCAACTTTACGTTTCCTAACTTTGTACCTGACTGAAAAATGCAACCCCTGTCTTGAAGGGGATCATGGTCTAGTTATGAGAACAGATCCAAACAGGTAACTTTTCTCTATTGCAAGAAATATTGTTACAGAGGGATAAAGAATGTACTCTGAGAGGAGCACGGAGCGGGCAGTTAGCTTTTACCTTTCCGTACTTCCTTGGCTTATTGTCCTAACCAAAATCCCCATGCCCCAGGTATCCCTCAGCGCAGAGATCGCCCCCTTTCCTGCTGGCTCAGTGAAGCCTAGTGCCTGTGTGTTCCAAGTCTCCCAGCCAAACCAGAGGGTTCTAATGCCTTGTTTTCCTTTCAGTTTGGGTATGAAGGCCGAGTCCCGCTGAAGAGTGCCCGTCTGTTTTATGACGTCAGCGAGAAGGCTCGAAAGATCGTGGAATCCTATTTCATGCTGAACTCAACCCTGTATTTCTCCTACACACACTTGGTCTGCCGAACAGCCCTGTCCGGTGAGATTTCACAGCTGCACTAGTTCCTCTCTGCTCCCCATGTGATGGGAACGATGTTGCTGAAAACCTGTGTGTCTAAAAAAAAAAAGAAAAGGAACCCCAAAAAAGCTTCTGAATTCTTTGTTTTTCCCATGCCTCTTTTTCTCCCTTTCATTTCCCTAACGATCCAGAAGACCTTACACTTTGCACCCCGTCTCTTTCAAATTCATTTCTTCTCATTGCTAAGGTCACACGGAGAGATGTTTTCCCGTTCTAGGTTTCTTTTCTCAGAGAACCAGGAACTTGGACATTACAGTCCTTACATCACAAGCACCAAGTACAAACGGAGACAATGAATGAATGACTGAGAATGGTTGAAAGGGAAAGAGTCTTCCTCACTCCCCAATCTCTGTCATTTCCTCTCTGCTTTCTTTCCTTCTCCCACCCTGAGTGGGAGAAAAAGGATGTCACAGGAGTAGACGTCACACTTGCGGAGTTTTAACAGATCAGAATCATTTGTTTACCCTTTCACGCTATCCTTATCCTTTTGCTGTTGCGTGTGAAGTGGTACCCGTGAACTACATGAAATTTACGCATATGTGTTTATGTCAGAGAACTGACAGAGTTGAAGAGATGGGTCGGTTGCATAGTTTCACATCAAGTTTACGTCCAAACAGCCCAGTCTCTTGACTGCCCACTGTCCGTCCGTCCTTCTTTCCTTGCTCCCTCTCTCCCTCCCTTCCGTCCTTCCTTCCACCATGAGAGAAGACAGGTATGTCATCTGCTTTTCTGTTGGAAGTTGCTGCACTTGATCTCTCATTTGTCACATTCTTTTTGGTGGCAGGTCAGCAAGACAGAAGAAATGACCTCAGTCATCCCATCCATGCCGACAACTGCCTGCTGGATCCCGAGGCCAACGAGTGCTGGAAGGAGCCCCCTGCTTACACTTTCCGGGATTATAGGTACGGCCAGCACCTCCTTCCAGCCGAGGTTATCAGAACCCACAGAAGCTAGGAAGTTGCTTTCTTCGACTTGTTCGCATGTTCATCTCTGCGAAGCAGAGATTTTCAATCTGCCCTGAGAAGTGCCGTTGGCATTTTTCTTAAACAGTATGTACATTTTGCATCCTATTAACTAGGGTGTTTTTTAGTCACTTTGTTTTGACTGAGACATACCCTTTGTGGCAGATGTGCTTCAGTCTGAGTACGTAAGCATGATGTTCCGACATGTGTAAGATCCTGTCGCATCCCTTAGCTATTAGGCACACCTGAGAGGAACTACGTCCACATTTTACCAGTAAGAAATTCAAAATGCAAAATAAAATAATATTCTGTTTCATGGAAAGATACCTGGGTATGTGACGAGACATCAGGAGTTGTAGTCTCACTGTATATAATAGTGTGTTGATTGTTACTACGCTGTGTCCTATTCAGAAACATTTATTTAGCACCCTCTTGTCCAAAGTCTGAGCTAACCCACAAGGGAACTCTCCAGCTAGGTGCTCTGGTTTTTTTTTAAATCTCTTTTAGAGTAACTCGTATATGGGAAAAAAAGAGAGCTATAAGCAATACAGATGGCTGTATTAAATCCAATCTAGTTAGTAGTTCTTTGAAGGAACTGAAATGTGAGATGAACTTTAGATATAATTAAATCTTTAATGCGGGTGGAATCAATAGGTACCTGAAGGGTATGAGGCAAACTTTATCAGATCTTACCTTCAAGGGTTTGGAGGGTCCGTTGCTTCAGTGTCTACTTCGAAGGCAACTTACTGATCAGGCAGGCCCGTTTACCACCAGCCTTTGGTACTCTGTGGGAATGATGTCGTAAGCATTAAATTGCATTAATGGTCTTCCTTTCATCGCTACAGTGCTCTCCTGTATATGAATGATGACTTTGAAGGAGGGGAATTCATATTCACGGAAATGGATGCTAAGACCGTGACTGTAAGTAACCCTCTCCCTGCAAATTCACTCAGCCTTTTGCTCACAGTCTTGCCATCTTTCCATGGAAGATAGGCTATTGGATTTCACAAGGTCAAGAATTTAAGGGGTGAGCGAGTCCCATTAAATATACAGATCATAAAACATCAGAGGTGGGAGCCCCATGCACATATGGTAGTCCATGTTAAAGATAGACTGGGTAATCGAGTTCTTAAGGATTTGCTCTGGTTGTATAGTAATTCACACTAGGAATCAAAACCTAGATCTTCTGATTCTTTATCAAGTAATCTGATAGAAATATAAAAACATAAATTCCTAAGTTACCCATGTCTAGGACAGATCAAATGATTGCACAGAATAGCTTCAGGTAAATTGGTGTTCTCTATGTTTGCACTAAGCATGCGGCTCTAAATCCCTGCTTACCAAAATGATCATATCTAGGTCTATGCATATGTGTATATGTGGATATATATCATTGTAAGTGTAAGAAGGAAACCTGTACCTGCAAATTGGTGTCCACACACACAGGTAAGGAAATCAAATATTGAATTCAACCACTGTCTGCCTAGGCAAACCAGTGCCTATAGGAAAACCAGCCTCTTTAACCCTTGGAAATACTATAGTTAGCATCTTTTCATCTTTATGCACCATGGTAGAAAAACCATTTTCCAGTTGAGGAAATCATATTATAAATAGACTATGAGGTATATCTTTCTTTTACATAAAATCTAAGTAGTTGGGACATGTGTATACAATAAACTTCAGGTTTGCCCTTACATTTCTGAAACTTTATAAGCTTTAAATTTAACTCTCATAGTTTGCATAATTTTCTAATCTATGATCACACATGACCAACTACTGTGATACAATCAAGTGGTATTAAAAATTCTATTACTGGGTTTAAAGAGAATTCCTGTGAGGATAATCAATAAAATATTCCTGGAAAGTTGTTATAATCAAGAAAAAGATGTTTCATGTAGTTGAATACAGTGATTCATATTTAGAATGTCATGATGCCTTAGAATTTTCTGGAAGAAATATTCAATATTAACATGGAAACTGATATTTCATCAACTGTGAAATTAAATCAAAATTGATAAAATAGATTGGCATTTGAAATCTCTGTACAAGATTCTCACCTTTGGAAGAGCTATGTGTAGAAAGCATTTTATGTTTGATTTCTGCTAACCCTGAAACAGATAAAAAATTGTTTGCCTGTTATACATCTTGTGTGAGAAATCAGAGACGGTTGAAAAGATTTCTTTGGTTCTTCTCCACCTAGTGGTCATCTTTGGAAGTGTTCAATGTTTGAATGCCTGAAATACTAATCAGTTTGAGGTTGGTTAGCTGGAACTCTGGCTGATAAACATGTGAAAGCAGAAAATATGCTCCCTTTAGAGATCTATAATTTTAAGAAATAGTGTAACTATTTTTAAAAGGAACAGTGCAACTATTTTCAAAAAAATGTTTGAGTCTAACCTCCCCTTATTTAAATTTGTAGTCCAAAAGTTCAGTAATAGTTTATACTAAAGCACATAGCAAAGACCTTAGGGTATTTCCTATATAATTAAAATTCTTAGTTAAGAATTCTAGAAATTCTCAAAAGTATGGAATTCTTAGTTCTTATCTCCTTTCCCATAATAAATGTATTCTAATTTTGGTGGCAAAGGAAAATATCCAGTTTTCTGTTCTGGCTTCCCTTAATAACTGCAGAAAATAGAAAAGGCTCTATTTTCCAACTTGAACCCACATAAAGAATTAAAGTCTTTTCTAGTCTCTTACCTTGGATAAAATCTGAGGATTGTCTAATTAATGGCCTGGTGGCTGAGTGTTTAGATTTACTATGGACAAGTACACCTCAAATACTATTCTCCCTCAGTCATCATTTAGATGGTGTATTATTCAGCTTTCCCAGTGATAGGAGAAAACCCCTGGCTCACAGTTTAAAGGAGGAAACAGCCGGGCATGGTGGCACACACCTGTAATTCCAGCACTTGAGAGGCTGAGGCAGGAGAATCTTTGCGAGTTCAAGACCAGCCTGGGCTACAAAGTGAGCTCAAGGCCAGCCTGAACTGCATAGTGAGACCCTGTCTCAAAAAGACCAAAAAAAAAAAAAATTTAAAGGAGGAGAGGTTTATTTTGGCATGGTCAGCTGGCTCTAGGGCAGAAACATCATGACAGAGACCATGGTGGAGAAAAGCTGCTCCATTTATGGAGACCCGGAAGCAAGCAGGGAAGGAGAGAAGTAGGGATGAGATTACAGGGGTTCCAGTCTCACCCTCAGGGACCCAGCACAGCCAATCAGATCCCACCTCCTCATAGCCCACTCAGCTGTGAACTCCTCAGTGGATGAATTTACAAAAGCTCCACGTGCAGACACCTGAGATGGGGGAGATAGTTTAGATCTAAACCAGAACAAACAGAACACAAAAGGAGTTTTTAAAACTTTTACTTTGAAGATTGTATACTTGAAGAGAATGAGTTCTTCCCAGTAGTGGTATTAATTTGTAAGAGAGAAATTAAGGGTTCTGGGGTTTTCTGTACAAGACTGAAGGAAATCGGATTTGATGAGTTTCATTTGTTTCATGAAAAAAATAATTTTTTTTTTGTCTTTTCGAGACAGGGTCTGGCTATGCAGTTCAGGCTGGTGCTGAGCTCACTTTGTAGCCCAGGCTGGTCTCAAATTAGCAATAATCCTCCTGCCTCAGCCTCCCAAGTGCTGGGATTGTAGGCATGGGCCCCCATGCTTGGCAAAAAAAAATTAAATTTGATGTGAATGGGGCTTTGTTACAAAAGTATGTTTACAGTCACCGTGTTTCCCCCAAAGTAAGACCTACCTGGAAAATAAGATTTAGCTGGTTGTTACCATGGTGATGGCAGTGTCATGCAGAAGATTATACGGCACTCTTCTCTTGTTCAGTAGCTACTCTGGGATGGCAGGTAAGAAAGGCAAGGATAGGCAGATTGAGCCTGGCATTTTTGATCTCTAGTTTTCAAGCCTGATTATTTTCCAACTATGTGTTATTTGGGGGGAAACATGGCATTTATCTAAACTTGAGAACATATCTTCCTTTCGAAGCCACGTTATCAGGGGAGACAGGCTCATTAAAGCGTGTTGATTCCTCCGTGTGCTGACGGGTGGCAGGCCACGCTCCCTACGTGATGAGATGTGTCTTTGTGATCCCCGAGTGGCCACACGCCTGTGATCAGTATGGACTGCGTCAGGCAGTTGGTGGCCTGTTTTCCTAAACTTTCCCAACTTCTTCACACTTCTCACTGCGTCAGAGAGAAAACACTAAATTGTCCCTGTCCCCATTCCTTAGGGTTCTAAGCCAAGACCTGCTAATCACATACAAGCTACAGCTACCAGGAAATGAATGTCCCAGAGAATGTGGAACCTCAGTGCCACTTACCAAGTAGGCTTTTGTATCACAGGCCACAGGCCTCACACACCTTGTATTGTGCCATTTCTTTTTTTCCGGTACTTGGAACTGAACTCGGGACCTCGCGCTTGCCAGGAAGGCACTGTGCCACTGAGCTAAATCCCCAGCCCCATGTTGTGCTATTTCTGTGTGAAAATGCACAGGAGGTCCTTTCTCTGGATAATTGGAATCAGACTGAATCTGAAGGCATCACTAGCTAGTAAACGCTCTAGATTGTCAGCAGCAAAGTCTCTATGACAAAGCTGCTTAGGAAAAGCTACTCTGGAAAAGACCCGAAGCATTCTTCAAGTGTTGTGAGTAGGAGAAAAACTAGAAATTGACTGCTCCTTTCTCTTCTTCCCTTTAATAGCCATGCACACAACACATGCATGCATGCAAACACCAGGCACACAGGTGCACATGCACATAGTTGGAGGCACACATACACACACACACACACACACACACACATCAAACCTCTGACTCTTTGCCTCCTTCACCTACCTCTGATTTTCCATACCCCACAGCACAATCTGGGAGTGTACATTTTATATATAAGACTGTATCATTCACAAACTTCAAAAAAATGTTGAGATGCTCTCATTTTCCACAGAGGGAACACACTCTTCTAATGAGCATATACCAAATGGAGTTGGTTCACAAAATAGCGAGTTCGAGCGGTCCTTCTTACCGTGCAGTGAAATGGCTGGTGCTATCCTATCCCCTTGACTTTCTTTACGTTCTCCTATAGAATCAGTGAGGTGTCAGTGTCTGCCGAGGAGGGCGGAGTGATCTCTGCGCACAGGAGATGCATCTTTAAACACAAAACCAAGGCCCCTAGTACTCAGTAGTTTAAGCTCACCCACCTTGAAGGACCTGCTTGTTGATCCTGCCCTCCGTGTCATCTCCCCCAGCAGTGTCCGCTTTTCCCTCATGCACTCTTCTGCCTAAACATGGGGGCCTCCCCACCCAGAGCAGCAGAGAGGCTTTGAGGTATTGCATCAGCCACCCCAGCGCCCCCGGAGGCGATGCACGCAGCCACAACGAGGGTGGGGTCTTGTCATCACTGGAGTGAGCCAAGCAGTGCCTGGAGGACCAGGAGCACTGCAAAGGGAAGGCAGCGTCCTGTGGAATTAGACTTGGCTGTGAAAAGTTTTGGACTGTGAGAAGTATATAAAACATAAAGGTGCGATTACAGAATTAGAAGTAGGGCATTCATGCAACCACGACCTGGACTGGTATTAAAACTGTCCTGCCACGCCACAGGTCCCCTGCGTTTCTTTGTAATTCCGCCAGTGTGGGACATGCACCTACCTTGTGCACAGATGCTTTGTTCATGCCAAAGCCGTATAAATGAATTAAAAAGGGATTTTTGCCTTTTTGGCATCCGCAGGCTCTGTGTGTGTGGCGTGTGTGGCGTCATTGCCGTGTGTATGGGTTGTACCACACACTTTACTTGAAGTCATCGTTTTATTATCTGGGTACCGTGGCTCATTCCTGTAATCCCAGCACTCCGGGGAATGAGAAAACAGCGTCAGAACTTCAAGCTTAGCCTGGGTAATTTAGTGACTTAATTTAGTGACTAGTGAGATGCTGTCTCAAAAAAATTACGAGGGGTTAAGAATATAGCTCAGTGTAAAGGCCCTGGGTTCAATCCCCAGTACTATAAAAACATTATTTTTTGTCGTAGATATTATTTTGACTATACCTTTGTTTTAAAGATGAGAAAACTGAGACATACTATTCCTTCTTTAATACCAGGATTCTGTTATTTTTTGATTAAACTATAGCCCAAAGAATTCCATGGAGGGAAATAGCCATGGTATCAGAATCAGAAGTCTTAATGTTCACTTTCTTCCTCAGGCCTCTATAAAGCCAAAATGTGGGCGTATGGTCAGCTTCTCATCTGGAGGAGAGAACCCGCATGGGGTGAAGGCTGTCACCAAAGGCCAGCGGTGTGCTGTGGCTCTGTGGTTCACCTTGGACCCACTCTACAGAGAGTTGGTGAGTTCCTAACATATCAGGGAAGCTGGTTAGACTGGGCCATGAACTAATCTATCTGGGTTTTTGGGTTTTTTTGCACCGGAATCGAACTCGGGACCTGGCGCTTACCAGGCAGGCACTTGTGACGCTGAGCTATAGCCCCAGCCCTGAACTAATCTCTCTGAAGAAGTCTTTGCTTGTCCTACATCCCTGCAGCGTCCTTAGAGAGAAGGATAAAACTTTGACCAAATCTCTTCTGGTACTGTTTTCTAAGCAAGAACAACATTTGCTGATGAATCCTGACTTAGCAATGACACGTGGAGCCTCTATAGTGGGAATCTGAGGAAACAGTAGGGACTGGGAGGGCAGCTTTTTATCTGAATTCAAATAAGTGAAGATGTTCGTAGAAATAGATTCATCAGTAATATTTAGCAACTGGTAATCGCTACTGAGCTCAGTGACAAACTGTAGCATCAGAAGACAGGAAGGATGTTCTGCTGGTTTCTAGAAGACTGTGAAGTATACTGTTTTCTTAAAAAAGAAATTGTTGAAAAGCTCACTGAACAGTTTACAAACCATGCAGAAGAACATGAATGAATCTGAAAGACTGTGATTGCTTGTTAATTTTATTAAAAAAAAATATTAAAATAATAGAATATTTGAGGTAGCCAAAGATACACAGGCTGGATAAGACGATATGACCTGGTCCTTTTAGATGACTTTTCACAATGTGAAGAAGCATGAATTCACACCACTAAGAAGCTCCTGGGGGAAAAGTGTGTATCCACTACTATCTTCCATTTTGTCCACTGCTTTGTGTCTGCCTGGGAGTACTGACCAGTGGCTCCATTCCAGGCTCCACCCACAGCTTAGTTTGGGCACTAACATAGCATCCAAACCCTCAGAGCATTAGACGGTGTGACTTCAGCGTCTTCCCCAGCCCAAAGTATTCCTGAAGTGATGGATTTCTCTTCTCAAGAGTGACTTCCTAGGTGAATTTCCTCGTTCGGTCCCCAAATTGAGTCCAATTTGATCAGAAGCTGTTTGAAAATAACCCACCCTTCCCACCCTCAAAACTAAATTGTGAAGTTTTTGCCCACATTCCCTAAGCTTTCTTTTTTTTTTTGGTTTTTCTCCGGTACCGGGAACCGAAGTCACGACCTTGCGCATGCCAGGCAGGCGCTTTTGCCGCTGAGCTAAATCCCCAGCCCTCCCTAAGCTTTCTTCCACACATTTTACAAATGTTTGTAGGGGATGCTCTGTGCGCCTAGGAGACTGTGCTAGGGACAGAGGTGAACAGATCAGTCTCTGCCGCAAGGACCACGGAAAGATCAGCAAGGACATAGGAAATGCAGGCAGCAGGATGTGCTTTGCAACGGGGAGAGCAAGATGGCAGTGAACTCAAAGTGACAGGTGACAGAGGGAACTGCATAGTCCCCAAGGCATTGGAGGATCTGCTCTACCTGAAGAGCTTTTCTTTCCCTGTATATTTTAGCCTCCAGATAGCCAGCTTCCCTCTAAGCAGTCGTCCTGTACTAAGCCACGTAGGTAAATGATGGACTGTAAAGATAACAAATTGTTGAAAACAGCCTCACTACTTAAACTTAATTCAGCAGGTGTTTTAATTATTCTGTTTTCAAACTCTTTTCCAGCATATTGTCCTACCGAAATTAATTAACACAAAGTAAGTTCTTTACTCCTTCCTTGTTTTCTTCCAGTACTGGGAATCAAACTCACAACCTCGCGCTTGCCAGGCAGGCGCTGTGACGCTGAGCTAAATCCCCAGCCCCTTCTCTACTTCTTCCGGATCAGGGAATGTACCATAAAGCTTCTCCTCCAGTCTTCAGGCAGTAGCGGCATCTAGTGGCCGCATTGGAAAATGACAAGCGCCTCTTTAGGCCACTGAGAGAACATTTAGCCTGTGCTATATTCGCAGACTTTCCTACACACCGGAATCACCCGGGGGAGTCTTGACAAACTACCATCACCTGGCTTCTGTCTTCACAAATTCTGATTTAATTGGTACAGGATGTGGTCTGGGTGGCAGGAGTTTTAAAAGCTTCCCAGGTAAATCAGATTTTCAGCAATGTGTGGGAGTCCGCAGTTGAAACGCCTTCTCTCACATTGAAAGTTTGCCTATGAGCAGGGCGCTAAAGCATGCAGATGCCCATGTCCATTACAGATACTCACCTCGAGGAGTACTTAGCCGCATAAACTGTCGGCGATGTAAAGGTATGAAAAGCTTCCTGTGTATCAGTTGCAGCTCTTGAATTTCATGCCCTTCACAAGAGACACGATGGTAATAGTTTCTGTGGCTATAAAAATGCTAAAAGTTCTGCCTCTCTGTCAATTTGTCAGTCACAGAGATTTTCCTTCCTGTTTATAAAATGGTATGTGGGCATTTAATAGTGTAACAAATTTTTTTCTGGCACTTACTATATTTGGCCTTTTTAGTTTCCTTTATGTCAGCATAATTTCCAATTGTAAGCCCCCTGCATGAATGAAGCTTTGTTTGCATGTGATAAAACAGCTATTTTTATAACTTCCGGTGCCACGTAGTATGTTAAGGATGACATAGGAGGGTACAAACTAAATGAGGCATAACTCCGATTTTCAAGGAGCTTGAAGTCAAATCAGAGAGGGAATACCGAGGCCAAAGAAATTACAGCATAGAACAAAGTCTGGTAACAGTTATCAGCAAGAAGAGAATGATTTATAATCTATAAGAACCAATCAGGAAGGGTTTTCTTACAGGATAGTAAGGTTTCTTTTTTTAGTGCATGTTAGTCAGAATAGCAATGCTCATTTGGAGGAAGTGCTATGTTCATGTAACATACCTTGCTCACTTTCAGTCACTTATATCTCAATCTTCTTTTCCTGGCCCCTTGCTGCTTCTCTTTCCTATTTCTAAGAATCTACCTTCCAGTTTTCTTTCACCTCTCCTTTATTTTATTCAATCATTTATTCATATTTCAGGTTTCTCGGGCCGGGGATATAGCTCAGGGGCTCAGCACCTGCCTGGCAAGCACAAGGTTGTGAGTTTGATTCCTGGTACCAAAAAAAGTCATATTTCAAGTTTCTCATATAAGAGAAAAATTATGATGTTTAACTTTGTAAGTCTGGCTTATGTTGCTTAACATGATGTTTTCCTCTTCTGTCAATTTTCCTGTAAATAACATGGTCTCGGTCTTCTTTCTGGCTGAATAATACTCCATTGTGGATATATACTATATTTGCAGTATGCATTCATTTATGCATGGGAATCTAGACTTTCTTCACAGTTTAGATATTGTAGATTGCATTGCTATAAACATGAGTATGCATGTAAGGCCATAGTATGCTGTATTTAATTCATTCAGGACTATACCTAGAAGTGATAGAGCTGAATCAAATGGTATTTCTACTTTTAGATTTTTGAGGAAACTCAGTATTGCTTTCTGTAGCAGTTGTACTGGTTTACAATCCCACCAATAAAGTAGAAGAGTTCCTTTGCATCTGCATTCTCACTGGTATTCATTGTTTTTTGTACATTTGGTGATAACCATAGTGACTTGAGTTGAGATGGTATCTCAGTGTGGTTTTGAATTGCATTTTTCTAATGAAAAATGTATTGAATATTTTTATATACTTATTGGGCATTTCTGCTTCTTTTCAAAAGTGTCTCCAGTTCATTTGCCCATTTTTTATTTGGGTGGCTCAGGGGGATTACTTTTGTTGTTGTTGTTGTTGTTCTTTATGTATTCCAGTATTGATCCTCTATCAGAAGAGCAGCTAGCAAAGGATTTGTGCCATTCTGTAGGTTGCAGCTCCTCTCTGTTATTTCCTTGGCTGTACAGAAGCTTTTGAATTTGATGTAACCTAATTTGTTGATGCTTGATACTATTTTCCATGGTGTTAGACTCCTGTTCAGGAAATCTTTACCTGTGTCTGTGCCTTCAAATGTTCCCCGTGTGTTATCTTTCAGCAGTATCAAAGTTTCTGGTTTTATATCTAAGTGTTTGATCCATTTTTGTTTGATTTCCCTACACAGTGAGAGATAGGGACCTGGTTTCATTTGTCTGGGTGTAGATAATTCAGCTTTCACAGCACCATTTATTTAAGAGCTCGCCTTTCCCCCAGTGTATTATTTTTTTTGCCCTTTGTCAAAAATCAGATAGCTAAAAAAGAAAAAAAAATCAGGTAACTGTAGGTACACAGGGGTGATTTTATGTCTTCTGTTCTATTCATTGGTCTGCTTTGTGTTGTGTGTGTGTATGTGTGTATCACGTTGTTTTCATTACTGTGGCTTTGGAGTATAATTTGGCTCCAGTATTGTTAGCCTCCAGCATTGCAATTTTTGCTCAAGATTGGTTTGGGTATTTTTTTTTTCTGATTTCATACGAATTTTAGGTTATTCTTTAACTCTGTGAAAAATATTTTTGCAGAATAGGAAATGCACTGAATCTGCAGACCATTTCTACCAAGATAACCATTTTAACAATATTCGTTTTGCCAGTCCACAAATGAGGGTGTTTTTTCCATTTTCTAAAGTTATCTTCAGTTTCCTTCTTTAGCATTCTGTCATTTTCATTGTAGAGATATTTCGCCTCTTTAGTCAGATTGATTCCTAGATACTTATGTTTTTGAAGTTTATGAACGAAATTATTCTAGTGATCTCGTTTTCAGTGAGCTCATCATTGGTGCACAGCAAAACCACTAATTTTTCATGTGTGCATTTGGTATCCTGCCAGTGTACTGGATTTGTTCATCACATCTAAAAGTTTTCTGGTAGTTTTCTGGGGTCTTTGATATGAAGAATCATATCATCTGCAAGTAGGGATAGTTTAGCTTGTTTTCCTATTGATATCCCTTTTATTTATTTCTCCTACCTGATGACTGTAGTTGAAGTTCCAAGTAATGTACTGAACACGATACTGAGTATAGACACCCTTTCCTCATTCCTCATTTTAGAGGAAATACTTTCTTTTTTTCCATTCAGTATGATGTTGACTGTTTGTCAAATGTGGCCTTTATCAGTTTGA